TCAAAATCTCCCTTAGGTTTTGCCTGCATTTTAATCCGTCATGCTCTAGTTTTCAAGTGGAAACATTCACATTTTAAAAACATATGCATCATAGCTTGGAACGGAGGTGCTCAGACCCCATGCAGATTTTTTTTCACAACCCCAGTAAGCCATGAAACATAAAAAAATTTTGTAGCCATCATTTGACTAGTAACCCTCAAACATAATTGAGCACGATTTTTCGATTATTCCTATATTTAGTTCTTTAACAGCTGTTCTTTTCCACCTGTGCCTGAGGTCCAGAAACCTTTCTAGTGGTTGTGTTTTCCACTGAAATTCTATGGGGGCAACCCTCCGCCAGCCCTCGCCTTTCTTTCTTCTGCTTCCTTCTGCTTCTCCCCCCCCCCTCCCGCCCTCAGATGTCTGCTACCCTCTTCAACCACTGCCCACGCCAGACATTCAAACATTTGGGGATTCACTGACACTTTGCAGATAGTCTTTATAGCTATCTTTTGAAATATACCCAGGTGCGGAATGTGAGATATGAGGACCGTTTGGACATAGACACCCTCCCTGTCTAGGTCTCCATCCAGTCTACCTCTCCTCAATCCAGCCTTGGATGCGTAATGCAAAGTGACCGACCTGTGGCCGCAGGTCTCCTCGTTGTACTTTCCTTGGCTCCTGCGGGTTACTCTCTGCTCAAGGCCGCTAACAGCTCAATTCTCCCAAGCGGCATTGATCCCAGTTACTATCAAGGGCCCCGAAGCCTCATTAATCCTTTGCGCCACATACTCAAGAGGCTTTAGCAAGTAAGGGACCCAGCATCGTTACACAATCAGGAACTTGGGGTAGGCAGAAATACAGGAAATGGGGTAGAAATAAGAGAAACATGTAATGGTGAGCAATGGCTCCGGTATGATAGAAAGACCAGGGCCAACCCAAAGGCGGGCCGTAAGTCTAGAGTGCAATGCCGATCACACCGATAAGCGTGGCGGGTCTTCACTTGCAGAGTATAACACACTTCTGTGAGTAGCTAGCTTAACGAGAATAGGTCAGGTACTCCCATACTCATGATCCTTTAGCTTGCAGAATAAACACTAAATAGCTTGGATTAATAGAGGAATAGCCTTTTGGTCATGAATATGATCAAATTGCGTTTGTCAAATTCTGAGAGGAAACTCAGTCAGTACCTGAGCTGTGTCTTACATCATTTATATTTGTGCACACTAAACCTCCAACTGACTAGATGTTAAACTGCAAGCCTGCCAAGTAGGACTGCTGCCAATTACTATTTTTAAAAAAATCAGATTCAAGTGTGGGGAGAAAGGAGGCTCTCTTGGTCAGGCAGTTTACGTGATGTCTTTCAGAAGAACTCTGCCTTCCGGCCCCCCCCCCCCCGGGGTGGTGAGTGTGGCATTAATAGTCAAATCTGTGGGGTAACTTCAGAAATTCAGAGTTATTATTATGAAAGAACGAGTAGGAGGCTTCTTTTTATTTGGAGTGTATTTTATGAAACACATCTCCTCTAAAAAGAAAGATATGTGCGTCTGAAGCAAAATTAAATTTGATTCATTTAAATTTGATCGCCTTTAATTTGTACTGGTCAGAAAAAAATTTCAGTTGATAGATGAAACGGATGAAACAGGGGAGACTTGAGGAATTGTAGGCCTAGTAATTTGGGGTCCTCAGTAAGTTTCTGAAAACAGACTTGAAGGTCGCTGGCCTCAGGACTCTGGCAGCAGGTTCCAGCACATCTGCACAGCTCAGATAAAAGGTGCCCTCAGAGGGGTTTGAGAATGAGGCATGGAGACTTGTGGCAGTAGTACCAGTCGCTACGAATCAGAAGTCACGGTGGCGACCCAAACAACACCGTAGCTAAGCGCCGCTCGCTTTCCCACATGGATCACTATGTTAACCTCTCCGCTCTGTCATCCGTGGCGTTAGGGGTTTTCCTTTGTCTTTCGATTTTGAAACTGGCTATGTCATCCACAGCCCTTCATCAATTTCCAAATTTCCAGCGTTTCTGAAAATTCTATACCCTATCAGTGTTTTAAGGCACGCTATTAAGCCACATGGGTACGCATGTTTATCTTCATTTGTACACCTGTGAGTCCAATTTTGACACACGCCCGCCTGCAGACTTGTGCATCTAAGCAGTGCACGGAATGTGCCAGCGTGCAGGGGCGTGGTGAACACTGCACGCGGTGCTATGTTTGCCCCCAATGTGAGCGCTCCAGGGCACTATCAGGACCCCGGAAGGTGGCGCTTGCTGAGTGCAAGGGGCTCCAGTAATCTCGAGCGGACGAAGAACCGCGGTCCTCGGCTGCGTGTACCGGCACTTTGGGCAGATGGCACTTGTCCGGCCTAGCGCAGCGTCTGACGCACGTATCTCAGGCCCAAGCCCCTGTCCGTCCTGGCCAGCCGGCTCGCTAATAGCGCCCTGTGTGTCTCCCGCCCCGCCCGCTCCAGGTCTGGTTCCAGAACCGGCGCGCTAAGTGGAAGAAGCGCAAGAAGACCACCAACGTGTTCCGTGCGCCGGGAACTCTGCTGCCCACACCAGGCCTGCCTCAGTTTCCGTCAGCCGCCGCCGCCGCCGCCGCCGCCATGGGCGACAGCCTGTGCTCCTTCCACGCCAACGACACTCGCTGGGCGGCGGCCGCCATGCCGGGCGTGTCACAGCTGCCGCTGCCGCCGGCTCTGGGCAGGCAGCAGGCCATGGCGCAGTCGCTGTCCCAGTGCAGCCTGGCGGCCGGGCCGCCGCCCAACTCCATGGGCCTGTCCAACAGCCTGGCGGGCTCCAACGGCGCGGGGCTGCAGTCGCACCTCTACCAGCCCGCCTTCCCCGGCATGGTGCCCGCCTCCCTCCCCGGCCCCAGCAACGTCTCGGGCTCGCCCCAGCTCTGCAGCTCCCCGGACAGCAGCGACGTGTGGCGGGGCACGAGCATCGCCTCCCTCCGCCGCAAGGCGCTAGAGCACACAGTCTCCATGAGCTTCACTTAATGCAGCCGCGCCCAGCCCGCTCCGCCCCCGGCGCCGCCCCCAGGCCGCCCCGAGGTCCTTCCGGCGCGCGCCCGGGCCCCCGCTCCCTGCCCGGGCCCCTGCCCCTGCCCCCCTGGCCCCGCCCCGCCCCGGTCCCCACCCGGCCTCTGCCGCTTCTCGTTTTGTTCTCGTCTCTCTCGTTCGTTCTCGGGGGCTTTCCCCTTGCCCCAGCCCGCGAGGCCTCCCCTCCTCCTGATTTCGCCCGCCCCGGTCCCCTCTACCGGGCTCCTATTCCCGTCTCCCCCAACTCTTCCCTGGCCCCCTTCTCCAGCGCCTCACCCCACCCTTTCCGGCTACCCCCAGCTACCCGGCTCGCAAGCAGCGTGCTCGCGCCCTCCTCCCAGCCTTCCGACTGGAGGCATTCTCACCCACACCTTCAACACGACGCCTACGACCCCCTCGCCCGCCGCCTCCCCTGCGGTCCCTTCTTTACCCGCACCTCCAGCCCCTCCTCCCGCGCCCTGCAAAAAGCATCCTTCCCGCCATTTTACTTACCAGGGAGTCGACTCAGGATCTGAAATCAGACACCAATGGACTGGTTTGTGGGCAGAAATACACACACTCGCACTCTCGCTCACTCTCAGACACTACACACACGCGCACACACACATACACAGTGCACCTAGGTCACACACGGACGTGTTCAAGGGACAGCACAATGTTAGGGATTTTCGTCTTAAAGGAGGACAAGCATCTGCTACAACTGCCTCATCTGAGGGCCCAACTGACACAATTTGATTTGTCCCTGTATTCTTTTTTTCTTTCCTCTCCCACCACCCTACCCTTGCCCCATCCGCCCAGTCACATCCATGCAGCCCTCTATTGGCTTGCAAAAGAACACTTTTATTTTCTCTTACTTTTATTTTCTTAAGCACAATGTGTGAGGTTATAGAAGGGAAGGCGTCTCCGGAGGAATGTGCCCGTGAATTGGGTGGCCGGAGTAGACTAAAGCAGTCATGTGATGAAGAAGAGGTGATCTTACCCATTTTGATACGTCTTTATAAGGGAGAATAAAATAAACGTAAGAAAATTTTCCTTTTGTAAAAGTAAAAGCCACATCTCTTTTCTGGATCCTTCAGGACTGGGGTTTGTTTGCTTCCTTTTCCGTTTCTCTCCTCGCTGCTCTGTGCCCTAGGTTGTTTTGTGGTCGTCCTGTCGTTCCTCGTGCCCCTCGGCCACCGCTCTGGCCCTTGCCAGCTGCCGATGGGTGCACTCGGACATCTACAACCCTGCAACTTTGTACAGAGAAACACAATCAGCTCTTTCTGCATGTGCTGGTCAAATCCAAACCCAGAGAACAGAAGCGCTTTCGAAGAATGAACAAACATGTGAAATAGGATGTTTTGTGTAGATAAAGCATTCTTGTTACATACTGGTCAATTTGTGATATGTTTTAACTTATTGTCTGTGCTTATTTATGGAATTTGGTTTTCTTAATAAATGTTTGAGCTAATATAAAGCATATTATTTGACTTTTCCGGACAAGTTTATATCAAGTTAAATGTAAATGGATAAAATAAAATCATTTTCAGTATGTGATATGGAGAATGATGGGTTTTGTTGTGACTTTGAATTTCAGGAGGGGGGTCGAATGGGGGAGGGGAAGAGAACTTGTCCTGTAGGCTCTCAATTTGCTCTCAACGGGCGAAGATCCCGGATCGCAAATGGCGGGAACCCCATTCAGTAGGCTGGCGTTCAGTGTCTGGCTTGCACCGCAGGCTAGGCAGCCCTCTCCCACACAGCGTCAGATGGAAGAGGCCAGGCCTTCCCCATTCAGTAGGCTGGGGTTCAGTTACCGGGTTGCACCGCGGCCTAGGCAGCCCTCTCCCACACAGCATCCGGTGGAGGAGGAGGCCGGGCCTTGAATCACGCAATTCCCAAGCCTGAAGCCAGGAGGCCGGGCCTCACGGGCGCTCCAGGCCTCGCGGGAGCTCCAGGCCTCGCGAGGCTTTGGGCCTGCCACGGCTTCCAGAGCCGGAAGTGGGCTTCGGGGCACAGCTGCTAACCGCGGCACCCAGCACCCGAGAGTTGATAAGCTTCTCTTGTGTAAGGCGACCATTTTCCGGCTGCGTGCCTGAGATAGGAATGCTGTAGGCCAGAAGAAGGACCATAGTACAGGAAGCTTGGGGACCGTTAGCTCTGCCCTCAGGGGTCACTAACCCAAAGTCCAGTCTGACCCTGGGTATGCAGTGGATTGAAATGTGAAAGGGCGTGGCGGGCTGGGTGGGAGGTGGGGCGGGGGGCAGGGGTCTTTTCCTAGGGCCTGGGTTTTGTGGCCTTCTGAAAGAGGCGACCCGGGTTTTTTGTGTCCTCAGGATCTGGGCTGTGCTTCTGGTAACCCTAGACCTCATGAGCGGAGGCAAAGGGAAGGTCTGAAATAGAGTGACCAGGACTACCTGGCTTTGGGTTGTGCCTTTCAGGCTTTGCTTGACCTGGCCGCTCTCTCATTCTTTCGGGATGCTTACTTGGTGTGAGCCAACCTCGAATACAACCAGGTGCTCAAACTAACTATTAGTGAAAGTTGCTGTTTCTCTGGTAGTCTGAGAGGGAAGGTTGTGGGTGTGTTTTAAGCTTGGAGGCAAATCAATATCCCAAGCATTCTTTGGAAGACTAATCAAAATCGATCTTGTGGTTTGAAATTTAAGGGTCATTATAGGCATTGAGAGTGCACCCATCCTCATGGGAAGATTTCTCATTTGGTTGCCATAGTGTGTAAGCCCTATAAAAACCCGTGTTCTAGAATATAGTTTTGTACTACTGGGCTACATATGAATTTTAAGAACTGTTGTTAATTGTTACAACTAAGAGGACAATGGAATCTCCTCGAAGGCAAGGACAAAAATATATGATTTTCTATGATCAAGAAAAATTGTATCTTCATGTTACCTTAGGAATTTTAATTAGAGGTAAAATTGGTGAGTGTGTTCACAGAATATTTTAATTCTCCATTTTCTAAAGCATATTTATAATATAAGGTTAAAGTATTAAAGAAGATAAAAACATACTCATTTGGGGTTTCATATACAAATGGAACATTTCTGAATGTTAGCACTCTAGAATTTAGCAGCATAATAATCACATTTTGGAAGTATCTGTAGATGAAAAATACCTTTTCTTGTTTTTACATTTCATCATATTCCTTGTCTTAACATAGTGCTTTTTAAAAAAAGTTTTTGAATTCGTGGCGACTGTAATTTCAAGTCACATCTAAGAGATCAGTTCAAATTACAGATTGCTTTACCAGTGAGCATGGAAGGTTGTTTACAAGGATGCTAATTTTACAGCTTTTTTATGCTGCTATAAAGCATAACTTTATGATGTAGGAATGCAATAAAGGATGCTAAATGGAATCTTTAAAAATTGTATTTCTCAAAGGCAAGGGAAATCTTTCATCTGAAAAAAAAATGGGCCAACTCAGAACACTGATGAGAAGTTACAAATCAACTCAAGTGATAGATGCTTTCAAAGATACTTATATTTCATAATATAGTGGTTATTTATCAATATTATAATGAAAGTGTACAGAGTTTTTCACTTGACCCAACTTTAGAATATTTGTTTTTATAGCAATAGATTTTTGTGTTAAGAATCCCGAATATTTTAATGTCATATATGCTATTAGCTTAAGTAAGGCAAGGCAACCTGGCCTAAGTTGTTAAAGTTGACAGTTAAGCATAAAAAGCAGAGAATGAGAATCTCAGTCACAAGCCTGAAAGATTTCTGCATTTTGAGGGAGAACAGAATAATGCTTCTTCTTATTTTTTACTTTGTCAGCAGCAACTGTGTATCCAACCTGTTAAAGTTAAAATAAATAATTACATTCCATAAAGGAAAAAAGACAATAATGAATAATATTAGAACACAAAGTAGATTAAGTACAACATGCTGGACGTCCTACCTCTGATGAATTATACTTTTTGCTGAGTTGCCTATTGGGCATTGAATACCATCACCACATACTGGCTAGAAAGAGTCAAAGTTTATTATGACATAACTAGGTGATTGATTTATTTGAATACACATGTTCTTCCTTATGTAATTATCTTCTCAAGATTGGTACTAAATAAATATATGTGGTACAACATGATGGCACAGTATTGGTATTGCAATTCGTTTACCTTTTGTTGATGGTGGCAGAAATAGGATATAGGACTTCAACTACTAAAGAGGATGTTAGGTATTGGATACAAAATAGTATGCAGAGCAATTTGGGTAAGTCAAGGTAGATGTAAATGGAGAATATGGAAGAAATTCTAACTTTGAAGCAATTTATCTTTGATGTCCTCAGTGCTCAATGACTGCTTCATCTGAAAATGAAAATGTTTGTAATTTGTGTTGTGGACTTTACATCGTAATTTTTAGGATAAAGAGAAAACTTAGTCCACAAAGATGTGTCTTCTAGTGATGGCAGTAGTTAACTTGTCAGTTGAAAGAGCTTAACCTTCCTTTTCTCCTTTTCATGACATAAAGGTAATCTCATCTAAGGGCATTTATGTGAAGAAATAACAGCATGGCATAGTGAGACGACTGGCTCATTAATCCTGGCATCTACTTCCTACAGGGTTCCTTGATTAGTTAGATTCATTCGTTGGGCATTTTAGAGTTTTTGATTTGTCACCATTGACTAGGTTCACTGAGTTCAGGCTAAATTGAGCCAGAAGCAATTTTTATTAGTAATTTTGTAGTACAGGCTACCCTAATAATTCAGCCCAAATATCTCATCTGAAAAATATCCATTCACCCTCGCTTCTAATGTGGGTTGCAGCTGTGTTCATAGGGAATTGAAAGAACACAAGTGATTTGGCATGTATTTTCTAAATTATTAATATGATGGCTAATAGCTGTAAACCCATCCTTGTATCCAATGCAGAAATTATGATTCATTTTAAAAATGAAAGCAGCAACAAAGGGGGGCACCCCCTGCCTGACTCTTGGCTCTCTCATCAGTGCAGAGCTTTTGGTTCAGGAACCATGGCCTGTTTAGCATGTGGTCATTAGAGAAACAGAACAATGCCTTTTGCTTTTCTTCTTGTGCTCTGTCAAAAAAAAAAAAAAAAGAAAAAAAAAAAAGCCTGGATTTATAAGACTTACTCGAAAATGCTTTTAAGGAATTTTAGGCATGAGCTACAAAGAGTCCCTCTCTTAATTTTGACCATGTCATAATCAGTCTGTAAGCAGGCATAATTAGTTGCTTGTGCAGTTAGGTGGCATCTTCTATTCACATGATCAAATAGCACATCCATCCAAGTTTCCATCTTAAAAGCTGAGTTGGATTTGCGACTTATTGCAGTAGCTCATGCTGCCACAATCCCTTTAGTTCCTAGTTGAAGCAATTCACAAGTACCAAGAATAGATCATTAACCCTCATGACATAAATACTGTATGTTCTTTATATCTTTCATTGAAATGTCACAGGGCTTTATATGCTTTTGCTCACAGTCATTATTGAATCTTTTAAAGATAAACTAAAACAAGGTCAGATTAAAAGCTCTAGAAACCTTTAACACCGGAAAGATGATATGTGATTCTTAAGAAATTAAAAAAATAAAATTAGAAAACACAAAACATAGGCATACTGACATTAAAATAAGTTCTTTCTAGATTTTATAATTACAGCATTATGAATGAGTTCACTGAGGCTGAACTGGTTTCTCTTTTTGCTGCCCTTGTTTTTATTAATTATCACATGCTTAGTCTGCCTATAAGGTACTCCAACACAGCAGTGATTTCAGAAATAATATTTTCAGATGGTGTTTATTACTTTCACTCTAGTACCTTACATTTGAGCCCTGTTTTTCAGTTTACAGGACACATTATCTTGTTTTAATCATCATGCCACCTTTATGAAGTAGATATAATTCCTATTTTACAGACGAAGAAATTGAAACTCAGAGGCTAAATAACTTGCTCATGACCACATATCTAATAAGTGGCAGAGATAATTTTTAAGTCAGGTCTTCAGATCTTTCGGCAATACCGTTGTGTATGTTACAAGTAGATATTGTTTAAAAAAATTTTTTTTAATGTTTGTTTATTTTTGAGAGAGAGAGAGGCAGTGAGAGAGTGAGATACAGAATCTGAAGCAGGCTCCAGGCTCCAAGCTGTCAGCACAGAGCTTGATGTGGGGCTCCACCTCAAGAGCTGTGAGATCATGACCTGAGCCAAAGTCAGCCGCCCAACTGACTGAGCCACCCTGGTGCCCTGATATTGTTTTTATTCTTAAAATATCTTCAGGGAAGAAACTAAATCACTTCCTTTACATAGAAGTTTAATAATCCACCCCTGTTATTTAACAGGACAGATTTAAAAAAAATTTTTTTAAATGTTTTTAATTTTATTTTTGAGGGTGAGAAAGAGCATGAGTGGGGGAGGGGAAGAGAGAGGGAGACAGAATCCGAAGCAGGCTCCAGGCTCTGAGCTGTCAGCACCAGAGGCTAATGCAGGGCTCCACCTCATGAACTGAGAGATCATGACCTGAGCCAAAGTTGGATGCTTAAGCAACTGAGCCACACAGGTGCCTTGACCTTTTTTTTTTTTTTTTTTTTTTTTTTTGAGACAGCAAGCACAGGGGAGGGACAGAGAAAGGGAGAGAGAGAATACTAGGCAGCAGGCTCCATGCTCAGTGCAGGGCTTGATATCAGGAGTCTGAGATCATGACTTTGCCAAAATCAGGAGTAGGATGACTAGGCTACCCAGACACCACAGGACAGATGATTTTTGGTGGGAAGTGATAGCTGTATTAAAATTAAGCATGGTTTTGAGGTGCCTGGGTGGCTCAGTTGGTTGAGTATCTGACTCTTGATTTCAGCTTGGGTCATGATCCCAGGGTTGTGAGATCGAGCCCCACGCTGATCATGGAGCCCACTTGAGATATTTTCTCTCTCTCCCTCTCTCTAGCTCTCTCCCTTTCTCTCTCGCTCTCTCCCTCTTTCTCTCTCGCTCTGTCCCTCTTTCTCTCTTCCCTGCTCATACTAGCTCGCTCTCTCTCTAAAAAACAAAACAAAACATGGTTTTAAGAATCTAGAAAATGCCTTCCCTCTTGATCTTTACGTGCTTTCTAGAAATGATTTCAGGATAGTTCTACCATGCCACCGAGAATGTTCTTTATTGTGTGAGGAATCTTTATCAGTGGAATTGTCTTCTTGTGACATGAGCTCTGGGCTGATGTACCAAGAAACTTGGGAGCTAGCCCTGAGAGTACTTTGAAGGGAGTTGGTCGCATTGTAAGGGAGAGGTGATGGTTTGACTCTGTATACAAGGGAGAGCATCCTTGAATCCCTTGGTGCTACAGGTATGTTTCTTGTCTTTCCCTGCAAGATTTTATAGGGGGATCTTTTTATTTTGCTTAATATATAATATTAAATATTCACAACTCAGGATAAGCTGTTTCCATTTTTCTGTCCTTCACTGTCAATCATAGAGTCATAAAATCTTAGCACTTAAAGGGATATTTGAAATCACCTCATTCAAATTCTCTGACTACCATTGTCCCTTATTCATTTTGCACCAAGTGGACTTGAAGATTCTGGCTCATCACAAGACAGGTCTCTAGTATTGGCCCAAGCACCTGGAAGTCCTTCATTTTATTGAGCCTCATCTGCTTCCTGTTCTTCTTTCTATAGTCTTGTCTTGTTAGAACTTCCCATCACATATCTTAGTACTGAAATGATTTTTATTTTTAGTCTTTTATTTATCAGTATAAGACTAGGCCGTGGTATGGTACCACATAAACCTATTTCTGGCTTTACACAACCCAGGTTTATTTCTTGCTTACAAAAATTCCACTGTAAGTGAAGTGATTCCCCAGGACAGCTCCCCTTCATGTAGAAGCTCAATGATGCAAACCTTGTTTTCATTTTGTGGTTTGACCACCTCATTACAGGGTTTCCATTGTCTTTTGGGAAGGAAAAGCGAGAACTAGAAGACTTTGAATTGCCTCTAATGGTTTGGCCTGGAAACTGCTGCTAATATTCCAATAAGCAAGAACTAGTTGTGTGACTTCTAATTGCAAGAGAGCTGGCCAATGTAGGGGAGCACGTGGATATTCCTTGAGTAGAAAATAACTCTGCTGTCTTATTTTCTCTATCATAAATACTCTTAGATCCCTTATTTAACATGTTTTTCATACTTAGAAGTCAACAAGTAGTTTTTGGTGCTTACTGGCAGGGCCGCAGAGATGGCGGTGCCAGAGAAATAGATGATGTCCAAGCTCTTGAAGAGCCTACATCTAGATGGTGAGATAAGATAAATATATTTTTAAAAGAAAACTACACAGGCCATGTTTTTCTTTCTTTTTCTTTCTTTTCTGTTTTATTTTTTAGTTTAAATTTTAGTTAACATATAGTGCAAAAAATGTTGTACACAGGCTGTTTTTAATGGTTTGATCAAGTGCTAAATACTCTTATCTGTATAATAAATGCAGTGGGAATTCAAAGAAGCAGGAGACCACTGGGGCTAGAATTCCCGGGCAAGGCTTCTTGAAGGAACTGGGCCTCATGGGATAGCAATGTCACCCTTGAGGATTTTCTTCTCCACTTTATTGGAATTTGTCCTGTCCTTGTGGGCCTTATTTTCAGATCAATAAAGTAGGTGTGGTGTATTTATCTCTATCATTACCAAGTTCTCTATTCTCTTAAATTTGGAGCCATTGATTAGATTTAGGGCTGTAATGATAACAAGAGATTGTGGACCATCTGCTATACCCACACTAGTAGCCATTTATAATCTCCTGTAGTGTCGTTATAGTATCATGGATATTCCCCAAATGGATGAATTGTAGCCATGTAATTCCCCAATAGCGCAGTGACTCTGGCACATAGTAGGTGCTCAATAAATGTTTACGAAGTTGAATTAAGTCAGACATATCAGTGTTAAAGCTCCTAGCTTATTGCACTTGCTTTTTGCTTATTATCATATCTAGGGGAGTAGTTACCAATTTAAAAATACCGTCTATTAAAGGACTTATGTGATTATTAAGATGAAAAATAAATCACTCCTGACAACAAGCCAAATAATATTTCTCACAAAGAGACACCATTCTCATCCTTTGGTGAGCTCAGTGCTCACTTGGAGTAAACCAGTCACCCATGGGACGCTAATTACCTTTTCCAAAGAACTAGGCTACCATGTAGCGTGTTCACAAAGGTAATTTAGTAAATGATGCCCTGGTATCTTGAAAGAGTTAATATGCCACTCTTAGAGACTCCTGTGAGTGAATTGTTTCTCACAATAGAGGGAGGAGCACATGCTTGCCAGGAAAACTGCTGTCTTAGATTTCCCTGTTGGAAGACTTAAGAGCTTCATTTTCATTTTAAGCCTAGTGGCTTCTCCGAGAACTGGTTGTATGCCATGAGACATTTCAGATTTGAAGAGTTATGATGAGAATTCTCTCTTTATGCAAATTAACTCCAAAGCAGGACCTTGAGGTTCTGGTAGGGGTTGCTTTGGATGCCCTGGATTAGGAGATCACTGCTTCTCAAGGAGCTAGGTTTTTTCCCTTTTAGTTTTAGAAGAACAGTCCTTGCCCCTATTCTGCTGTAGTAGAGGATCATGAAGATACACAGCAGGGTTTGGAAATCATAGCTGTAATCCTTGATCAGCTGTTAGCTAACTATGATCTCAATCCAGTCACTTGGCAGCTATGACCTTCTGTTTCCTCATGGGTTACCTGAAGTTCTTTCCCAATGCTGACTAAATCTAATAATGCTATAACTGTTTGGCTGACCAGTGTGGGGAAGTCAGTTTAAAAATACCTGTTATTCAGAGGCCTGGGCTGGTCTTTGTCTAATCTTTCTTTTGAAGGTATTGTTCTTTTATTCAGGAGGAGATAATCTGATTCTGAGTCAAGTTAGCTTGTGTGAAGGGGGTGAAAAGGTAACCTCTGTGTTCTGCTGAAGAGTTGCTGCCACTTTCTACCCTCCTTGTAATAGGATGCAGGCAAGGAGTTGGGACTGCATTAGAATTATTTTACAGAGTAGGAAAGGAAGTTTGCCATATGCAGGAATTTAACTTTCTGTAGAAAATAATGGCTTTGCAAAATAAATCCTCATCCCTATGCTTAAATCATTAGTGCCATGGGGTTTTTATATTATCGAGTAAAGTACACTTAATCCGTGGATTTAACTGAAAAGGAGAAATTAGAAGGAAAATAGACAACCCAGACATATTCTCCTATAGGAGGCACTCAGTAAATTTTGGTTGGATTGACTGGACTCATAGTACTAGTTTTTGTGTAAAGTTAGCAAGGCAACTGGGCAACTACTTAGAAGCTAGTGTGTGGCAGTGTCAGCATATTTATTCAGTTGCCAAGGCAATGCCAGGTGTTTATGACCACATGAGAGAATGAAAAGAACGGACAGTCCAGTGGCTGTTCAGGTGAGTGCATGGACATAGATCAGGAAGTGTCTGTTCATACCTCTTTTTATGTATGGATGAAGGCAGATAGTTCAAGTCCAGGGGAAACTAGTGAAACATGTGAAGTATTTTAGGAGCCTTCAGCTTTCCTCTCTCCACTGACACTTTTAGAGTCTGGAGTTTCCCATTCAAATCCTTTTCCCTATTCAAAATGGGAAATTAGCTGGTATTATTTACATTTTGGCTGTATAGATTTAAAGCAATATGCTAATTCATCCATTTTAAACTCTCTAATTTTAGTGTAGCAAGAATGTCTTTATCTTAATCAACTAACAATTAAACATCAGGAGGCAAGTAAGAATGATGTTGGAAACAGAGTGATTGAACAGGGGCTTTCTTCAGCTTAAGGAAATGATACCATACCTGACACTGGCCCACCAGACAAAATCTAGTTGTTTAGGGATGCTCCAGAATTTGGAGAAAAAGGAGTAAAGAAAAATATTCTTCATGTGGAAGGTGGAACATGGGTGCATTTTATTATTCAAGTGGTACATATATTCTTTTGTTCACTGGACATATTTCACAATAAGAAAAAAAAAACAACAAAAGTATCAGTTGTAGTTTCCTCCTTTCCACAGTTCCTGTCTTCAAACATTAGCTTTTCTAGAGTAACCAAGATTTTACAGATTTCCTTAGAGAATGATTGCCTAAAAACTTCTGAGGACACAGTGGCATCTTCTGTATTGTTGACTTCTCCTAGGTGACACCCTGGGCTCTGAAGTCACTTGGGCCATTTATGGCTTTAAAGTAGTCCTCTCCAGCCATTGCTCCCCTACCAAACTTATCTCTTTCTTACGTATCTTTTTTATTCCTCTGCTTTGAAATCTGCAGAGTCCATTTTTACTATGTAATATCCTGCTTTGAAGTTTCCTTCTGCCTTCCCTATTGTAATCCTGTTGTTTCCTCTGGACAGGCAGTCCTCATCATCCTGGCCCCAAATGTCTGCTTCCTCCGGGACGCCTGGAGCTGGGGTCAGGGCTTTGGAGAAGCAACAGCTGGACATGTTGCCGATGCATCTCTCAGGTAACTCAGGTGAGGGAGAGAGGGAAAGTGGAGGCTTCACTGAGTATAATTCAGGAAAGTATGACCTGGAGAATAGGGATAGGTTGAGACAATGAAATCTAAGTTTCTGGAGAATCACATCTGGGACTCTGTCTCTTAACTTATGTGTGCATTGACGACGAGTTTAACTATTTCCTGGCCAGAATGCATGGCATCTGACACCAATTAGATGGTAAGAAATGTATGTTGAATAAATGATACTGAGGTGGTCATAAGGTGAAAATACAACATTTGACTTTAGGTATTGGAAAAGTGAAAGAGAAGTCAGGTAATTTGCAATGCAAAAGTAAAAATTCTATTGATGTGAGCTGCTTATCTAATTATCATGAAGCACTGAAGCAATTGTATGTCACGTCAAATACTTTCAGATGATACTTGAGTTTTCTTTGGTAACAGTAGTAAATTCCACCAGATGTTAGGTAGGGTGTATCAAGGTAGGGAGGAAAGTCACTGGTCATCTAATTTTATTATTGCTGGTCAAATCATTCACACAGCTTATAGCCCTTATGGTCATTTAGCATCAGCTTAGACATCTTCAAGATACAGGAAACTCACCACCTGATAAGGAATCTCGTTTCTTCAAATACTTTCTTTTTTTCTTAAATTTTAAATTTTATTTATTTATTTTGAAATAGAGGGAGAGAGAATCCCAAACAGGCTGAATTCTCAGTGCAGAGCCCAGTGTGGGGCTTGGACCCACAAATTGTGTGATCATGCCTTGAGCTGAAACCAAGAGTCAGAAGCTTAAGCAACTGAGCCACTTAGGCGCCCCTCTTCTAATACATTCTTGTATTACACTGAAGCCATCCCTCTTCTGTCTTAGCCTTGATGTTCTACAAAACAAGTCCACATCCTTTATTATTACTTGACAGATCTTCCCATGTATAAAGACTGCTTTCTTACTTTTCTTTCTTTCCTAAAAATCTATGAAAAGATAAAGGGCTATGATCAGAGATGCTAGGGTCTTCCAAGTTATCAAAAAACATGTTTAGTCATCTTTATTAAATAGAAGACAGATTTTATCTTTAAAGTGCATGGGGGAGGTGTCTTTATTTTTCCAAACCCGCACAGATTAAGCAGGTTATTTTTTTAAATCAATACTTCTCAGTCTCTAGGGATGGGGTTTAAGAATCTCATTTTGAAGTTTGAGAACCACTGTTCCAGTCACTGAAGCTGTCCAGGTGAATTAAACATAATTGATGCTAATCTTAGGATTGGGTCTCATTGCTAGAAAGCAATGTTGAGCCTTTCTTTGTCTTTTTTTTTTTTTTACTTTTAATATAACTTAATTTTTTTCTTTCAAATTTTTATTTAAAATCTAGTTAGTTAACATACAGTACAGTATTGGTTTTAGGAGTAGAATTTAGTGATTTATCACCTATGTACAGCACCCAGTGCTTATCATAACAGTGTCTTCCTTAGTACCCATCACCCATCTAGCCCATCCCCCACCCACTTCCCTCAGTTTGTTGTCTGTCTTTAAGAGTAATGTTGAGCCTTTCTCACCTCTCCGCTAACAGCCTTGAAACGGCCTTAAGTCTTAAGTCTTTTACTGACTAGTAACATCGACACCCATTAGCTTTCATTTACAGACTTTCTTTCCCTCTTAGTCATAGATTTCTCAACTTTATTTATTTGCTTATTTATTAATGTTTATTTATTTTTGAAAGAGAGAGGGAGCATGAGCAAGTGGGGGAGGGGCAGAGAGAGAGGGGGAGACAGGATCTGGGTTCTGTGCTGAGAGCAGAGAGCCCGATATAGGTCTCAAACCCATGAACCATGAGATCAAGAGCTGGGCTAAAGTTGGACGCTTAGGTGACTGAGCCACCCAGACATCCCAAATTTCTCAATTTTAGTTTGATCTTCCCCTGACAGCACACAAGTTGAGTTCTTTTCAGTCTTCTTATCTTTAGCCCTCTAGGTTGCTGCTAATGTAGGATAGTCATCTGTTCCCCAAATTCAACTTTTCTGAGATTATTTCTATGCTCAGACCTTTATATTTCATTGCTTTTCAACCTTAATTTATTTTTCTAAAGCTTTCTGTATATGAATGAAATTAACTTATAATTCTTTCCTCTATGTGATTATTTTTCTTTGATTTATGATCCCTTCTAATCCTCAAACATGTGCCTATTTAATATTTTTGTGACCAAAAAATGGATGAAGTTTTGTATTCTGTTTCTTTGTATTATCCATATTGGCATATCATATATATAGTTTTAATGTCTGTAGGATTAGCTTAGAGCCTTTTCAGATACTAGTGTTACCTGTTTGTTGTAAATACTGTGAAATATAAACACATATTTATTCATTCAAAATACATTTGAATCTGATTATCACTCAGTTAAGTACTAAGATTTGATGTATAGTGTGTGTGTTTGTAGATGAGAGAAAGAGACAGACATAGAGACAGAAAATGAGACCTCTGTGAAAACACAACAAAAGAAAGTTACTTATAGCTATATCCTCCAATATGGTAACCACTAGCCACATGTACCTATATTTAAGTTAAATAAAATTAAAAGTTTTGTTCCTCGGTCACAGTAGCCACATTTTTTAAATGTTTATTTATTTTTGAGACAGCGAGAGACAGAGCACAAGTCGGGGAGGGGTAGAGAGAGAGGGAGACACAGAATCAAAAGCAGGCTCCAGGCTCCAAGCTGTTAGCACAGAGCCCGATAGCGGCTCGAACCCATGAACGATGAGATCATCACCTGAGCCGAAGTCGGATGCTTAACCGACTGAGCCACCCAGGCAACCCCACAGTAGCCACTTTTTAAGTGCTCAAAAACCATATGTGATTAGTGGCTATTGTGCTGAGTGTCATCACATAAAGTTTTACTGGACAGTGTTAACTTGTAACATTCTAGGCTAGGCTGGGAGAGAATCAGATTGCTCTGTTCCTTGCTGAATTCCATGGGACTTCTGTGCTACAGCACAGAGTGAATTGAACAATATAAGCTGACAGTGAGTACCCCCAAAGGCCTTTGAAGAAATGTATGTAAGTAAGAACTTACCTAGCCATGGGATTTCAGTCTAGATTTCAAAGTAAACTTTTTAAAAATGAGGTTAAGGGGAAATGAGGAAGGTGATTTTAATTACCAAAGGTATAGAATGGGGAAGATGTGTAGTTCAGGTCTACTATTACTGTACTTGCTATATATCCCTAATTGAATCCACGTTTCAGTGATTTTCTCTGTCAGTGGTAACCAAAGAATGCTTTTTATATAAGGTTTTAGATTTGATCTGTATGTGCATTTGGGGCTATACCTTGACCATTTAGAGTGGGTATATGAGATGTAGTGAGGAGTAAAGGAAGAGAGCAGTTGTGATTTGAGATAGATGCGTGTCTGTGCACACACACATACACACAGTTATGTCATAGCTGTTTCAGGAAAACACCTGTCTTACCACTTAGAGCTCGTCCGGTTCCTGAACTGAAATTAGCCTTACTTTCTCCCCAGGGCATCCTCGGTTCCCTGCAGATTTCAAAAATGGTTATACATCAAAACCCTGTGGACCTGGTCAGATGTGCTGTTACATTAATTATAATGCAGATCATGGTTGTGGATTCTGTATGCAGATGTGCTTAGAAAGCCTGCAGATGTGCACAAAGGAAAAGCTGTTGAAAAGGCTTGAATACATTGCACTGGTGCCAAGCATATTTATCACAGGCTAGTTACTGAGAATGCTGTTTTATTTATTTAATGTCCTAGGATCAAGTATATCATGAGAGAGGTTCAACTCAGCTAGTAGGGGAAAAATATGTGTGTATTTACTTCCTCCTGCTGCTCCTTCCTGTCTAAAGCCCCCTGACAGAGTGGGCTTATACAATTTTTTGAAGTTTAAAATGGTGACTTAAAGGTAACCAATGAGTATTTCTGTGGGGACTTAAAATAATTCTAAAAATTGAAATTTACTTAAAAATACTTACTTGTATCTTTGTTGCTGGTAATATTGGAAAGTTACAAACTTCATCATAGATTTGGTTTGTAGCATTGATTATAAGAGGGTATTATTGTAGCCATTAATTTTTTTAAATTATAAAAAATTCCAAACATATACATATGTAGAAAATATACTACAATGAACTCATGTATAAAGTAGTCATATCTAATAATTTTTAAGATTTCAATTTCATTTGCTTTATTCATTCTTTTTTTCATCTTTTTTCTCTGTTTAAGTCTATTAAAGTGGATTCCAGACATTGTACACATTTCAATACATGTTTTTAAAAATATGAATAAATATTCATATCCTCCACCAACTAATTTTTTTGGTGTCATCTAGTTCTTAATCAGATTTCTTTGTTTGAAAATGCCTTTTTAGGGGCGCCTGGGTGGCTCAGTCGGTTAAGCGACCGACTTCGGCTCAGGTCATGATCTCACAGTTCGTGGGTTCAGGCCCCGCATCAGGCTCTGTGCTGACAGGTAGCTCAGAGCCTGGAGCCTGCTTCGTATTCTGTGTCTCCCTCTCTCTCTGACCCTCCCCTGCTCATGCTGTCTCTCTCTCTCTCAGAAATAAATAAAACCTTAGGAAAAAAAAAAAGAAAATGCCTTTTTAGAGTTACTTAGAATCATGTCCAAGCAAGTTCTGTACATTAGATTTGTCTCTTACAGTTTTTAAAGAACAATTCAGTAATATTTAGTAAACTTAAAGAGTTGATCATAGTCCAGTTTTTTTCATCATAGTCAGTTTTGTTTGTTTTTTGTTTACTTTTTTAACAGTTATTTATTTTTGAGAGACAGAGATAGAGCATGAGAGGGGGAGGGGCAGAGAGAGAGGGAAACACAGAATCTGAAGCAGGCTCCAGACTCTGAGCTGTAAGCACAGAACCCGAGGTACATGGGTTTGAACTCCCAAATTGTGAGATCATGACCTAAGCCAAAGTGGGACACTTAACCAACGGAGCCACTCAGGTGCCCTGTTTTTTATTTTTTTAATGTTTTTTATTTTTGAGA